AGGGGCATCAATTGGCAGAAATGGTCTCTAATATTCATTTCACTTTGAGAATCGGTGTGTTATAGTTACCTTAGAATGAGCCATTTCTATCTACATATGGAGCGGATCGTCTTCCATGGAGTCCGCCACGTTCTACAGTAGCCCTGAACGAACGAATCTAACACTGGCTCCAGACAGGGCCATTCACATTTTTCACGTTGGCCATTATAGTTCTCTTCCACTTTCAGTTCTGCAAACTCATGGCTAGAGTCCACTGAATCTGACACACTGTACCTTTAAGTGACATTTTTTTTAATGTAGATAGATTATATTTAAATTGCAGTGTTGCTACTTCTACTAAAAAGTGACAGTAGAAAGCTGACAGGAAACAAGGGAAGGGAGATGGGGGATGATGTGCAACACTTCGCCAATTTTTTTACAGTGTTTTCTTTATACTTCTCTTTCTTTACACAGCAATAACTGCTTTCAGACAGCATAAACAACGTGCTTGTGGAAAATAGTCAATAACAGATTTAAGTTGTCTGATCTTTGAGAAATAGTTTCCCTATATGTCCCAAACTAACTTGAACAGATGGGTACTACAGAATGGTTTGCATATTTAATGAGTCTAAAGAGACCAAATCTTAAGTTTTCAAACATAAATCATCAACTTTACATCATCATGTTGAATATGGCACCTTGTCAGCTTCCTCTGGATGCTCCCCGTAATAAACTTTGCCTGCTGACGGGTTTTCCAATAGTTCTGGGCAATTTCATATGATGAATATAACATATTGTTAATGTTTACAGATTCCTTAGGTCGCACTCTGACACGATCACAATGCATTTCTCATAAAGTTTTGATGTGTTTGAACGCAACTACTGAGTGAAAAAGTGTAAGTAAATTGCGGCCAGCGAATCCATCATAGAGTTGTATGTTTTCTAACATCACTAAGATGTATTGATTTTTGTACTGCACATACTCAGATTTATGGCTATGTGAAAACAACTAACAGCTTTATGAGTATAACATTTACAGTACACAGGTGATTGATGCTTGCACTGAAAACCAGGGGCTATTTTCCATCGCATCTAAACTTTGCTTTGACCACACACGTCTGTCACAAGTTCAATGAGCATTCAAATGCGGTTGACAGATATATAAATGGTCATAAATGCCTCCCTGGACAAAATGTTGAAAAAGTGTTTAACCCCGGAATGAATGATCCTGGACCTCCCCGGATTTAGCCACATTAAAAAGACACTTGAGCATCCTGATACAAATATTGGGTGATTTGTCGGCTTTTTTGTCATTTCGTGACATTTTAAAATGACATTTTGTAAACTACAGACAGCGTGAATACAATCAATATGAGATGAGTTAGGCCTGTGTTTCCAAGAGGCTTTTTGTAATTTAAGAGTCTGTGTACAAACATCTGATGATTGAAAAGCAAGTACTCGATTATACTCACACACAGATGATTGGATCTTACCAGCTTGTAAATACAGAGCGGCATGGGCCAAATGTTTAACATTTACTGTGTGCCCCTCATCACTCTCCCTCTCTCTCTCCCTCTCTCTCTGTCTTTGCATTTCGTTTTGTTCTCTTTTGATCTGAGACCACAATGCACACTCAAAAATGCACACAAACTCACCCAGCAGTGCATCCAGAATGCACCAAATGTCACCTTTTTTTCCAATGGAAACAATAAAACCCCCTCAGAGCTACTAATGCCCACAGGCCTCAACACATACACCCTTGTTATGTCTTCTTCCCAGGGCAGGGAGTTATACATTATGTTATCTCCCTAATCTGCAAACCAGCTGCAACTGGAAATGAATTAATAACAAATAAAATGCACCCAGTACATAAAAATGTGTAGATTGCCCTGGGGCACCTAAACAGGAAACAGTGAAACAATTAGACTTTTTGTTTTGTTCTGACCTCTGTTTTGTTTTGTTCTATTTAGCTGCTGAATAGAAGGAGCTGGAGATAGAGACTGTTGTTTTTCTCTGTCTGTAATCACCACAGTTAAGCCTCCCTGGTCGTGGCAGGGGTCAAATCTGTGTGAACACCCACTTTTCATCCTACAGTGAAATTAAATCCAGTGTTACAGTCGAGCTCTATGAATGCTGTAATTCTCCGCTGAGTGCAACCCACACCAAGTGCTGCGGTTAGCCACCCAGGCCTATACGGTGCACGCATGTGATAACAGGCAGCGATATGGCGTCCTAATTGCTGGCCTGAGTGCTATTGGAGGGAGTTTTCAGCAGGTTTCTTTTTCACTTTCGCTCCATTTGATGTCTTTGAAGTTGGTCTTTTATCTGCCGTTGCTCCTGATGGCTGTTGTCTTTGGTGCGGTGCTGTGTGCACCCTGCTCTTTGAGCACTCCTAACATGTAACAAAGGCAAGCCCTTAGAGAGAAAAGAAGAGAAAGGGAGCTCTCTCACATACTTTCTCACATGAATTCATACACGCACAAGTGTAGATACAAACAGTATATACAATCACATTTAGCCACAGCCATTCACATGCAGGAAAAGTGGCTCTGCTGTCAGTAAAAACTGCTCTGTGCGATTGTTTAACTTGCCCTAATTTGATAAAGGGCCAAGTGCGGGAAATGAGAGAGTAGTGTATTTGTCTCGGGGGTTGTAGTGGGGTAAATATAGCAACAAGACAGCACCAGTTGATATGAAGGATTCCATGGTGTGGAGTGCTGTTGTGACTCACCAGGCTATGGTGATCCGTGTGTGTGTGTGTGTGTGTGTGTGTGTGTGTGTGTGTGTGTGTGGGTGGGTGGGTGTGTGTGTGGGTGGGTGGGTGGGTGTGTTTGCTTACATGCATTTGGATTTATACATGTCCAGTGTTGGTTTCATTCATTTGATGAACTTGAATAGAATTGGCCCACTCTCGACTCCTCCAACATGGTGTACAATAATCCATTACAACAGAGACAGTGTGTGTATGTGTGTGAGTGTGTGTGAGTTGAGGAGGGAGGGAGAGACCAGGGGAATGCATGGAGCGGGCGAGAGGAAAAGACAGTATGGAAGAAGCCAGAGAGAGAGCCTGCATGACCGGCTCCCGGCTGGCTGCGTGGGGGTGTGTGTCTTAAGAGTGTGTTGAGAGGAGAGTGAGAGCGCCGGTCGTCTCCATGTCTAATCAGGAGAACACTTGTGTGTCCCCGTCTCATTGTCTCCTGGGCCCCTCAGGGCGGAGGCCCTCCACTCCACCACTACACCTCAGGACATGCTGATAGCTGCCGGTCCAAGCCACAAGGGCAGGATTCAAGTCTGTGGAGTGTAGTCATGGAGTGCATGGGGAGGAAAATGTTTTAAAGTCTGCAAAATTAAGACCGTATTAATGCAAAGAGCTCAATTTGGGTAAATGAGTCCTTAAGGTGACACTAAATATTACTGGAAATTAATCATCCCTTCATAAAATCACTTGTTTTCATTATTTCCATCCTATACAGGAATGTCCTTGTAGTGTACTCAATAAAATGAGCAGTGACACATGTAGTTTATTGCATTTTTTACAATCTCATTTTACTATAATAAGAGTGCATGAGATTAGAAAATAATTCCTGAACCTTTAAATCACTCTTTTTTAATTCCAAAGGAGGGTTTGAAACAAAATTAGACGCCTCAGGCCCAACTTTTCCACATGAAATACCTGAACATGTCGTAAATAATGTCTGTACAATGTAATTAATGTGACATAACCACTGTGATGAACTTGACCTCACTCTGCGGTCTCCGCTCACACACACTTCTATAGGCTACAGTCGCAGGACAGGCGCGCCCCCGAGCCCGGTGTTTCTGCTCCATCGCAGGGGCAGCAGTGCACGCTCCCGGCTAAGCAGTTTCCCAGTTCCGTCTCCTCCATTACTGGCGAGGCTCAGAATCAATAATTCAATAGTTTTGGCGTCTAAATCCTGCCCCAAACGGCGAGATACACAAACACTCCAGACTCTAGTGCAGACTCTGTGAGATCAGTATTAATTAATAGCTAAAGACATTGTGTTTTGTGTGGAAATATCGGAAGGGGTAATGCGATCTGGATGCCTATAATTATAGGCTGCCGTGTCAGGTGTTTATTAAATGTTCAATAAGAGGCGGTTAAGATGTCAGGAAATGAATCAGGCAAATTTGTAAGTCAAGTGACGCAGGCGTTAATAAATGATTTTTTTTTTTTTACCAGGAGATTGGCCTTGTTTTACTTTGTGAGCTGCCTGTATATTTTACTATGCATAATGCCAAACTTAAGGTCATGACACATAAACCAGCAACATTTAAATTCAGTGAAGATGGGCAGGAGGCCAGATTCAATGAGGATCAGGGGGATTCGTAACTGGTGTTACATCGAATACCATTAACCTATATTATTTTATGTAAAAATGTTTATTACTGACACTATCTTCACAGTTGCTGGTGGAAAAAAAAATATAATATTTTTGCGAAAGATAATTCCGGCATTAAGGCAAACTTATCCCACAAACACACTGCGAGTGTAATTAAATCAAAATGCATCTTTGTTTTATATAATTCTTATGCGGTTGGGGTTAGTTTATTTAATTATTGCAAGAATAACAGAGTGGTTTCAAATCTAAATGAGAACCCTGTTAGAAAATAAATAAATAAATGTAATTGTGTGCATTTCAAGTGCTGCAAAAACAAAATTATCTTTGAGCCACTGAACGGTCCTTTTCTCTTCATCCTTTATCTGCCAGTTTTTCTAGCTTGTACTGGAAATTACAAGCCCTCCTCTCCAAACGCTCCATAACCAGATTATGAATAATGCATCGGTTTGGCATGGGCGCAGCAACAGACACCCATGTTCCTGACTAAACGGGCCTGTCACAACTGTGACGTTATCAAAAGACCTATAGCTACAGGCATGAATTATTAAAAATCTATTGCCCTCAAAGATTTACCAGCAATAATAATAATAAAGATGATAATAATTAAATTGTTAAGGGCCAATTACGCATGTAAAAAAATAATAATGTCAACTCGTTAAAGAAACTTTAGTTAATTTATTATAGGAACGAAAACATTTTGTTTAGGTGGATTCACGTTTCACATGTGATGGAAAAAAAGTAAAACAATTTCATGAGTATTCTTCTTCTTCTTCTTCTTCTTTTTTTTTTTTTTTTTTTTAGAAACCCGTGCCTCAGGTAAGATCACTTCCACTGTTATAAAAACATCAAAATTACATACAGAAAGCACATGATTTTTTTAATACACGGAAATAAAGTAAAATACAAAATGAACAAATTCCCCACAAGGCATTCATAAAGCCACTAAATAATAAAAATAATGCATGTTTCTTGTGTATAAACATATTTTACACGTGCCCGTACCGGTTCGCATACAGTCCTCATGTGTGTACTGTCATTTGCTCGTGTGTTCAGATGACATAATGCTCCTTTAAAAGGGGACACATCACCACTTCATATGGACACTAGATCGGGTTATCCTGACCAAAAAAAGTTCAGCATAGCCTACACATATATTATAATCTCACATTTCTGGTGCGTCGCCTAGAGTTTCACCTCAGAGGAGGTCCAAACAAGGTCAAATATAGGCCAAACATTCACGTGAGAGTTGCCCTTCCTCAGAGAGGGGAGGAAGAGGAAGAGAGGGGAGAAGGGAAAGAGAGAAAGGGAGAGGGTGGGGGCTCATGCAAACACTGCTTGGGCATTTTGAATTTTGGACAAGAAACAGAAAGAGGGAGAAACACTTTGAATATTGTCTTTTTTTTGTCAAAGGATTCCTGCTCTGTCCTTTTTACAGAGAAATTGTTTTATACCGAGGCCAGCCTCTATATAGGTTCAAAATCATAACAATAATAATATAATATTAAAACAGGACAACTGCAGAATGGTTCGCCTTGTTTGACAAAGTATCGACCGTCCCAGCTGCATCCTCCTCCTCCTCCTCCACCTCCTCCTCAGGGTGTCCTGTCGCCCTCCTCAGCCACGCGGCTGCAGAGAGGGACCCTGCGTAGCTTTATCCATCCCATGCGCCTTTTCATTTGGCGTCCAAAATCACATCTGTGTAGGCTATCACGTCACAGTCTCTTTCTCACTGTCTTTTCTTTGTCTCATAAATAGCCTATATTTTATAGTTATACTCGTCGTCCTTCATTTCAAAAAAGAAAAAACATAAATATCGTCCTTTGATAATTTTTTCTCACTGTGTCCTTGGGATTTTTTTATTTTTATTTTTTTTGTTGTCACTTTCATGTTCAGTGTCTCTGTCGCGAGGACGTGGCGGATAGCGCGTGCGCGCCTCGTGTCGCCCCGTCTCCCTGGCGTCACAGTCCCAGCGCGGCCGTGTGCTTTTTGGCCTTCAGTCTCAGGTCGGCGATGCTGGAGTTCTTGCTGGTGTTCTTGGCGGCGGCGGCGGCGGCCACGACGGATGCGGCGGAGGCGGACTCGGCCGCGAGCGTCGCCAGGGGCAGGCCGAACGGCGGTGCGGGGAACATCATGTAGGGCGCGTGCGCTGCCAGGTGAGAGTGCAGGTGGTGCTGGGCGTGGGCCACGGCGCTGTCCAGCTGCAGTTGCGCCTGCACCTGAAAGGAGAAGGGCGGCACGTTGCAATGACTATCCTACAGGACGGGACGCACGGATGGGGAGAGAAGGGGGAGAACATGCGTTAACTTTGCAGTGGGATGTCTGAAGGGTCATTTCACTAGTGTCACTGTTGCAGATGTGCTTCAACTTTTCACTCCTATAAGGAGGCAGGGTGGCCTAGTGGCATCATCTGCACCTCAGGGTTCATTTTCAAATCACAGGGTGCCATCTACTTCTAGGGGACACTACTGACTGCTGCGGCTCTTATGAATTAAAGGTCAAATGTGAGTTTTTATTTGGACATCAATAGCATGGAATCTAATCTCAAGTCAAACTTTCATTGCCTCTGGGAATCTTGGGCCTTTGCCTACAAGATAATAAACCCAGACCAGGCCACATGGTGCTCATAGTGAGGACTGGATTTCACTTAAAATGTGATGCAACATAAATTATGTGCATGATTTCACTACTCTGTCCAGACTCTGCTGTCCCCCACACACAGGTGCACAGCTTAAAATATAAAAACACACCATGGAAATTACACTTTTGTGTGAAGAGGGAAAAACATCCAGAAACTGCTGCCCTTGGTGGGTGTCTCATTTTACACCAGGCTATAATATGTTCGCCTGCTCCAGTATTTAAATGAGCCATAAAACAATAGAGGGAATTTTCCAATTAGGTTGTACAGGCTACGCTGTGTTGGCACAGTGTTTTTGTCAGTGTGGTAATAAGAATTTAGTTACCCCCTACATTGGAACTGGAGTCTCTGCATAGCACTTGGGCAGAGCCTGTGCCAAGACAGCAGTCCGGGGATTGGTCTGGTTTTAAGACTGGGCGCTTCAAAGTAACTTGCCTGTTGGAATGGCATCCGTAAAGCCCCCACGTTGACATATGGCGCTACACGACAAGCTTCAAACTGATTCGCTGCTCCAATCAGGACTCCTGCAAAAAGCACAGATGATAGCCTAATTGTGAGGAGGATATATTTTTTTTAAAAGACACACAAAGAAGTAAACCGTGGGACTGGGTAACTGAGCAGTGAGCAGTAAACTTTAATAACATCCAAGATAAACAGGCATCACAGTGCTTCTGATGGCTTAATTAACTGCAAATGAAAAGTCCCAAACAGTAACAGTGAGTTCAGATTAAAGATGTTGCATGCATTAGAGCCCACAGAATAGAAAAGAGTAGAAGTACAGTTTTGTGGGAACATGCTTGGATAAAAGCGTACCTTTATGTAACTGGTTCTCCTGCTTTCTGCATTTGGCTCTTCTATTCTGGAACCAAACCTGCAGGGACAGAAATTAATTAGAGACCTAGGCCTACTGATTGGCAGCTGCTTGTGAGGCCGTGTGTAATGCCTCTCAAAGTGACAACAACCGCAGAAAAACAATATCCCCGAGGAGCACTGAAATATTAATGACACTGCTTAACCCCAGATTTGAATTATTACATTTAGTCTACAACAAGGGACGGTAGGGGGTTGGAGCTGAGAAGAAGCGAAGTGAAAATGGAAAGTAGTAAAAAAAAAAATCTGCGAAAAGAGGGGTGGGCATTACAAGCTTATTAGGAGAATAGAAACACTCTTGTTGGAAATGTGCAGGACTATTGGACTATAATAAATAACCTTGTCAGCGCTGGTTTCATCTTTCTATAGATTAGTGTCCCCGAAGAGTTGAATGGACTCTCAGATATCGAATAGCAGCAATGCTATTACGGTTTTGGACATCAGAGCAAGGCGATCTGAGAGCATCTCCCTCTTTCTCTTTCCATCTCCCTCTCATTAAATGACCGCTGAAATTAATTACCCTTATCTGCAGAAAAATCCATGTCAGAGAAACGCTTAAATGCCTCGCAGTTTTGTCTAATCACCGCTATAACACACACTTGCACACACATACACACACATAAAAAAAAAAATTAAAAAAAATCAACCGCTTCAAAGACAGCTCACTTCTGTTGAAATCGACAAGCGTCAATTTCAGAGAAACGCCTTGGAACACAGATTAAACGATTTGTTTCTATGATAATCTGCTTTGAATCTCCCAGACAAAGCTCGGGCTAAATTAGCCCACAATACAACATGTCAATCTGCAATCTCCCTTACATTAGGTCCACATACATGCACACACACACTCTCTCACACACACACAAGCATGATTGAAATATCATATTGATTTGACTGTCAGCTGGCTTCATTTATTGACCACAGTATATGTCAATCGGAAGTCCTTTTGTGCACGCTTCAGCTATAATTTATCGCGATGATAAAAGCAAATGCTCTGCTGCTATTGATTGAGGCAGATATTTAAAAAGGGGAAAAAAATCAGAAATAAATGTGTGGTCTCTGCAGTGCAAGTGGTAAAAAGATATAATAGTCCAACAGAGGGGAAAGAGGGAGAGAGCTGCTCTTGATTTCGGTAGAAAATAATACATAATTTATGCAAATCCCCGAGCTGTGCTCCTTGTTCGGGATACAATACGCCTTATTGGTGAGATTCCAGTTCAGGCCGGGAGAGCCCTGCAAAAAGCTGGCTTTAACTTTTTTTTCAGGGGGGGTGAAGGGTGAGCTTGGGATCTTTTAGGCCCCGTTTTATGATTTCTTTTTTGCCACAGTGACCGCCATATTCAATATGGAGACAAATGCTCAGTCCTCCCCAGAGCCGGGGCATGCGGGATAAAAGAGTCTGGAATAAGATATTATAGGGTTTTGATGGACTAAATCAGATGAGAGGAGTTGTCTATATGTTCATTGTCCCCCTGCTCCCATTACACAAGGCATGTCTGACCCCCCCCCCCCCCCCCCCCCCCCCCCCCCCCCCCCCCCCCCCCCCCCCCCCCCCCCCCCCCCCCCACTCCCTCCCTCCATGACTGGCTGAAGCCTTACTGGGTTTCTGCGCAGATGGTGTGTCCCCATGAAAAACGACAGACTCTCTGACAAACATGGGGCCTTGGTTGGTAACATGCACCCAGAAACTGAGGGCAAATATTCGTAGGCTTATTTGTATCCGTGGATTTGGGCAATAAAGATTTAAAGGACACTCAGCCCTAACTGAGACATAATCAAAACAAGCAAAAATAATCAGAAAATGATGACAACATAACGTTTTTAATGGTGAACTGTTTCTTTTTTTCTTTAAAAATCCTTTTCAACTTATTAAAAATGAGAAACACCCATGGGAGTTTCCTCTGAACTGTTCCTCAAATTCAGGCCTACTGTAGTCCGCCAAGTGCACGTTTAAATTCAACATGAAAAACCTCCATAAAAAACAAAATGTCATCATCCTCAGACTGTGTTCTGCAGGCTTATTATAGTAAAAAAAAAAATCAGTGAAGATATTAGTAAAAATCCCTCCTAGAAAAAAGAAAGAATATGGGAGAAATATGGATGCTTTTAAAATATATATTTTTCTAATATTATTATTATTATTAGTCTGTCATAATTATTATTTCTATGTAAGCACGTGGGTCACTCATCCAGTTTTTCTGACACTTGTGTACACATAAAAACTCATGTTGCCATGGTTATAGTAATGTTGTAAATGAAAATTATAACACTGATTATTTATTTTATTTATTTATTTAAAATAATTTACTTAGATTGTGTCACATTATCAAACCAGACATGCTGCCTTATTACCTTTTTTAGTATTACTATATTTTATTATTAATACTAGGCCTATATTATTATTATCATTATTATATTTTCGTAATTACTTTTTAATTTTCTTTATTTCCCCTCCCATCAGCTGAATCGTCTCTCCCTACCTGTACTCGGGCCTCCGACAGTCCCAGTCGCTGGCTAAGCTCCTCCCGCATGAAGGCGTCCGGGTAGTGCGTCTCATCGAAGAGCCGCTCCAGCTCGTTGAGCTGCTCTAATGTGAAGTTAGTCCGACTTCTCCTCTGTTTGATTTTAGTCTGTGCTTCGTCCTCTAAAGGCTTCGAGTCCTCTTTCCTTTCCTTCACGTCCGTGTTGCCTGTGTTGTTGAAGGGGAGAGGAGAGAGGGGGATATCAGCTCTGTGACCTCCAAGTCTGGGGTTATCATAGTCACATATTTATGGAATCTGTCAGTGTGTTTTTAATCTGGAAAAATAATACTTTATATAATTCACACAAGTTATCAGTTTGATACAGCATCTTTCAGTCAGTAAAAATGAGCCAAACTAAGGGGTGTGCAAACTCGACCCCAGGTTTAAGGTAAGATCTGAAACGATTATCGACCTCCATCAATTGAAATAAAACCTCCATGATAAGGAAGAAAGAAAGAAAGACATGCCCTCCCAGCCCTCAAATATCACAGAGCTATCAGACCTCGGATGTTTTGTAGAGCTACATAAAGCTCTTTAATTATTAACTGCTTATAAATATGCAACGCTGTGCCCACTGTTGGATGTCTGATACATGCTTGTCGCAGCTCCGCTTTTAACCACGCTGCCCATGACGAACAGATGTCAGTTTTTTTACAAGCCACCCAACTCCAGGATGTCTTGTCCTGCGTGTGTTGTCACATTTTGTCTAGGTTTTTATAAATAAATCACAGCAAACAGCTGTTTTCTTAAAATGTAAAAAAAAAAAGTCTATAAATTATTTTAACACAGTTGAAGCTGGCCTTTTAAATTAAATCCTTGCCGTTTTAAATGTGATTTAATGATGTCTTGAACCCATGTTTTTTTTTTTTTTTAATTTTCTATTATTCTTGCAATGCAATTATATATATAAAAGCACTAAATTATTTTTGGACAGCCACGAAAATAATTGCTCCACCTAATTTGAGAGGCTATTTTAATGTGGAACCATTAGGTCTGGATTCAAGCCATGTATTAGGTGACTGATGTGCTTTCACGCCTGAAAACAGACATGCATGTGCACCGAGAAATGACAGCACTCGATTGCCACCTTTTCATGTGCAGTGATCTGCATGTCAGGTGTTTCATGCACCTTCTTTTAGTTGAAAAAAGATATAACTGACACATGGATTATTAAACCCACATTGTTATGTCTTCTAATCAATCGGAAGTAGGCTTGAAAACTTAAGGCAAATCAAAGACTATAAAGCACCTATGTCACATTTATAATTTGTGATATAACAAATGCCAGACACCTGGTTTAAAAGTCATATTATATTAGTTAGTTAGTTAGTTATATATTAGTTTGCCTCAGGAGGCCTTTGTGTTTATCATAGTTTTTGGTTAGGCCTTTTCCAATGAATTGAAACTTTCAAACTGCTCCACAGTGAGACATTACAAAGCTGCAGTCATCTTATTAATATTGAATATATTATGAGGAATAATGCCTGGTAAAATGCATGTAAAAGGAGCATTTTTGACGGTGTTGTATGACAACAGCTAACACTAAGAGAAAGAGTTGCAGAAAGCACTATGATAAATAAACCCCCTTCGCCAATACTTAGATGGAGGCTGACACTATTTGTGCTGCTGAAATATCTGTTTGGATGATAATCATAAGCGGAACTGAAGATGTTTTAAGTGTTTCGCGGATAAAATAATGGATATGATCAGTGCATGATGTTCGATTAACCTCCCTGGACTTGGTTGCTCCCTCTATAAGTCTCCTCCAGACATCCCTGCTGATAAAGACTGTGCATAGCACACCATGCAGTCCTACCGTCTATGAGTTTGGGGCTCCCGGCGTCCCTGATTCTCTCCGGGCCAAGCATGTCCGTTTCCCTGCCCGGCGAGAGCGCAACGTTCCGGGTGACGGCTGCAGCCTCCTCTCGGCTCCCCGGCTCCGCGGTTAAAGACTCCCTGCTCCCTGCTCGCGTCGACCCGGTCTCCAACACCTCCCTGTAGGTAATCACTTCCTTCTTCTCTTTCACTTTCTGATCGAAAGACTTAGACACGAAAGCGGTGAGCTCTTCCATCACTGCCTTCACTCCTCTTAAAAAAAAAAAAAAAAAAAAAAAAAAAGCCCACCACCACCACCACACACACCACCACCACACACACTCACACACTCTCTCCCTTTGCTCCACGACAGCTTAAGACATCAATGGTGTGGCTCGTTTTAAAGTCGACCCCTTGAAAAATGATACGAGGTGATGCTGCTGCTGCCAACTCTGCAAGAAGGTAAAAAATATATAAAGAATATATCTTCTCAGCCAATTCCTCCCTCCTTTGGTAGCGGAGTTGGGAACCTGCTGGTGATCCTCTATTGAAGTCACAGTATTTATACTTTGCGGCGCCTTGCCCCCTTGATCCGTGCAAATTACCTCCCCTCAGGATGCCGGGATGAGCCCCCCTTCCCCTTCACTGATATGGGAGAGAGAGGGAAGAGGAGTTAAAAAAAAAACAACATTAAGCAGCACCGTCGCTATTGGCCATTAATCCGAGATTGACAAGAAGGACTAATTAATTTAATTAAGCGCTCATTCGCTGCTATTGTCCTGAGTTAGTTTTTAAACACCCGGGAGATGGTCATGGATCTCTCCCTCTCTCTTCCTCCCTCTCTCTCTGCAGGGGTGTGGCTTAAAAAAATCTGAAAATGACAAGAGAGGGGAGAGAGAAAGAGAGAGAGAGAGAGAGAGAGAGAGAGAGAGGGGGAAGCACATGGATGAGGAGTCCTTCCTCAGTAGGCTATATATCTGTGATCTGGGGGAAAAATAAGTCACAGTCAACGATGACACGGAGAGAAAAGAGAGGTAAAAGGGGAGCAGCTGGGGATGCCGAGAGGAGCTGCAGCGACTTCATACAAGGAGCTTTGCGAGGAAGCTCAAGTGAACATATTTGTCTTGAACCCCCAGTTGCATACAGTTGGCTTCAGGCCTGGTGCGTTTATCCATAAGTTTTTGGCGTGTTTGTGCGAAGCCATGTCGTCGCTTTTTATGTGACACAGAATTTTACCGAGAAAAAAAGAAAGAAAAAAATGTATTAATAATTTAAAAAAGCAAAAAATTGTAAAATAATTGCGGTGTTTTAAGCCTAATTTTATATTATTATTATTATAATTATTAGTATTATTATTAATAATATTTTTGCACATGCACTATTAAAATGTGCAAAAAGACACGAGACAAATCATTTCATATTTCCACGCCACGCATGTTTCTAATCAACAATTATGTATTTTAAATTGTCATCATTAGTGAGACTATATATCGCTTAATATTAATTCTCTGCGGACTATTTAAACCATTAGGATGTTAAATAGCAGCTAAGCGTTTAATTATAATGCCTCTCGCGATGCGTTGCCATTGGGCCCACTAATTAAGCTTTTCAACTGGCTTTTTCCCGCTGAAATGATTGCCTTATATTTGCAAAAAATAAATAAACAATGCTCGACTCGCGGTGGAGGTATAAGTGAACGGAGAGACAGAGAGAGGGAGCAATTAAGTGAGGAGAGGAGGAAACATATAGGCAAAAGCAGAAACAGGATACAGCGGGATTTTGAAAACGTCGGGATGAATTTGATGCAAAATTAAGCGTGTTTATTGATAATCTATATGAAGCCCCATTTCCACACAAGGGCTCCAGCAATTCCCCTAATTAAATATTAACGATGTTTCAGCTTGAACCTTAGGCATTAATTACTATTATTTCTGCTGCATCTGAGAGCAGGATGAATTCCTAATCGCAGTGATACAGTAAGCAGCCTCTATTTGCAGTGAGGACCCCATTAACTTGTTTCTATCAGCCATTCCTATATGCTATGCTATTGATTCAATCACTCATTCATGTTGTCAGCGAAACAGTGGTCGTTTCACCTTCAGTCTCCTTATGTGTTTATGAATTTCATGAAGTTAATTAATTATTATACTTTGCTGAAAATTGCTTGGATGCTCTGTCTGCCCTTGCAGCTCTCTGTCTGTGTGTGTGTGTATGCTGGTGTAAAACCTTATTATTTGAGAGGACGACCTCATGCAAATGATCATTGACAGACCTACAGCTCACACATGCATTTGCTTATGTGATCATTTGTGGTGCGCGTGTGGGCATTGTCAGATCAAAACGGAATATGAGTAGCCCAGACTGTTGATGTACATGAATAAACATTAAAAGCCCTTTTAAATTTGGAATATTTTCAAATGGCTGGAGAGTGAAATTAAAAATTGTCAGATGCAAAACGAGACACAATATAACGATTAGAAATAATAAGTTAAGAAAATGCTCCATTATTTGACCTTCTGGATTTATGAAAGAGAGTCAGTGTCAGAATTGGGTGGAAAAAGCACAAATGTTCAGTTTTGACAAATGTATCCCCCCTCCCTCAAATACCTTACATCAGTCCTGCAATAATGGAAACATATTCCTTTGCCTGTTGGCTCATTGAACCAACAAGATGCACCCTCAAACCTCTTATAAAATCAAGCTTCTTTATTATTGGCTCATATAAATAATCATTTTAAATAGTTTTAGACTACCATGAAGTAACAACAAAAAATATTGCAGTATTTAAGGCTCATTTTAGGCTAGAGATATCATTTAGAGCAAACCGAGAACACATCATTTAAACCCAGATGAGAGCAGCCCCTCGATCGACTGCTCTGTGCTCGATTCTTCAGTCTGGACTCCATCGATGCTTTCCGGTTTGACGAGTAGAGTCTGCAGAGCAGTGCATGGCTGAGTTGTGGAGCTTCACAACAATTTAAAGGTGAGGAGCGGGACTTTTCTTTCAATGAAACCTTCGTTTAATTTGCCATACTTTGTATTTCATGTAACGTTTACTGACCGCAGCGTGAGACATTGTTACTGTTTAACGGCGAGGCTGCTTCAGTCAAAACAAGAGCTAGCATACAGCCAAACGGTAATGGAGCACAGTTAGCATGCTAGCTAGCCTCCATGGAAATTCCTTTGAAATAAAATTTTATGTCGTCTGTATTTACAGCAACACTTTTGTCGTTTTTATAGCTTTATCGGGGACTTATATTACGTAACTTATATCCCTCAATGTCTTTGATAAGCTAAGCTACATGCCGTGTTAGCTAGCTACACAGCCATATCCAATATGAGACCTCTGTGTTTTATTAGCCGCATTAAAACATATTTTGTCAATACCATGTTGTATTTGTTTTGTTAAATAGTTCAGCATGTTCATGTCGATACTCTTAGTTTAGGCGTGTATGAAATTGTTGCTAAAATAGACATAGCTCATCAGTAACACTTCTCTTGTGTGTGTTTTGCCAGCTGACAGTCAGACAGCATGGGTCGCCGCTCCTCTGATAGTGAGGATGACAGTCGGAGCAAGAGGAAGAGAAAACAGCGTCGCCGGTCATCCTCCTCCTCCTCTTCTTCGTCCTCATCCTCCGACAGCAGGGTGGCCAGCAGCCGGAGTCGGAGGTCCAGTCGCCGGAGCCGCTCTCGCTCCAGAGACAAGGACAGAGACAGGAGGTGAGGGGGCATGTATAACACGCTGTTCTTTTCTAATGAGAGGCAGAAGGGATGAGGACGGTGTAGGTGACAGTCTGTCTTGCTCAAGGACACTTCAGCAGGGCAGTTTAATCTCCAGGGGCGCTACTCTGGTGCTGATGCTGCATTTTCACCTCCTTGTGATGTGAGAAAAGTTTTCCCCTGGCGTTTTGTTAAGTGCTTATAAAATAAGCCCCTGACTCAAATGGTCAATCTTCTCTGTGGTTACAAAGTGAATCAAAGATTGAAAGTATTGCATGCACACTTCTTGCCTCCTTATGTTTATTTTTTTTTCCTTTTACAACTTGTCAGAGGCTAAAATGTATGTTAAGACTAACCCTCTGATGTTGCAGCCATGGTCAGTTTAACAGCTGTTAAACCTCAGGTGTTTGATGTCATTTTAGTGAAGTGTCAACCCAGTTATAGCACAGTTCTCTCCATTCTACTGGTTGCAGTCAGTTTTAAAATGCATTATTAGTTTAGGTCCAGTAGCTTTACTGCCAATGTTTGGCCGTCCTCTTTCGTAGCAGACATTTTGACAAAGTCAGGAAATTGTAGTAGGGAAAGTATTGCAGTAAGCTGTGACAGTGAGCCAGCATGCACAACACCAGGACCCTGAAACCAAATAAGCTCAATGGAATTTAGCCATCATTCATTTCATTATTTATACCTGTGCTTTATTCTACTGTGGAAATAGCATATATGTTAATGTTTTGAGGTGGAAAAAGAATGGAGATATATAGTTTTGGCTTCAAAATCATTATTTGTGCATCCCAAGGGGTAAACCCATGTGCATGAAGGGAGAGATGCAATTACTTTGAAATAACTTAATTACTCTTTAGTTTTGATCTTGTATAATTCAGTGTTTCCCTCAATATTCATTCATTCATTTTCCATAACCGCAGCTGACACTGGGCTGGGCTGACACATAGAGACAGACAACCATTCACGCTCACATTCACACCTACAACCAATTTAAAGACACCAATTAACCCGACTTGCATGTCTCTGGATTGTGGGAGGAAGCCGGAGAACCCAGAGAAAATGTTTCTCTTCATGCTTCAACTAAATTTAAAACATGGAGATCTCAGAAAAACTTGAAAAATTCCACAAAATTTAGTTTGCATGCCGTGTAAACCTCCTTTACCTTCAATTTAAACACATAATGTATTCTGATTTTAAATTGACAGATGTTTATATTTCAGCTTTTCAGTTTCAAATGAGCCTTAAATAAGAATTCTGTCGGGTGTTTTTAGTGTCGGCCCTTGCTCAGGATAATTGAAGACTCTTTTCAGGGTGGAATGTTTATTCTCAGTAAGTGATATTTACAATGAATGCCAGATATGGACTCTAAGATTACCTAGATATGAAATGTAACAATTGCATTTTGATTTAGCCTAAATGATCTTAGTTGTTCATATGTCAGACATCCCACATTATCTTTTTAAAAGAAGATATTCACACTTCCAGCTTTCTCAGATGTTGGTGCCTTGAAAAGTATCACTTGAGTCTTAAGAAAACACTGCTCTTGCTCAGCATCACAATTTATTAGTCC